GGCCCGCAGTTCCGGCCAAGGCCAGGCCCCAGATCCAACACCTTTCTCCTTCTCTCTCCCTGCCTGATCCATCCCTTGTGTCTTCCAGGTAGCCATTGCGGGTGCTCCCGTCACTGTGTGGATGGCCTATGACACAGGGTACACGGAACGGTACATGGATGTCCCCGAGAACAACCAGCAAGGCTATGAGGCAGGGTCGGTGGCCCTGCATGTGGAGAAGCTGCCCAATGAGTAAGCCACCCACGCGCTTACCATCTGCTACCCAGTGCTCTTCCCTGCAGCTTCCGGGCTCCCATCCTCTCTGCCTGTGTCTCCTGGTACCTCCTGCCAGCTGGCCTGGAGGTGCGGATGGTGGGGACGAGGGCCACACAGGTCGTGGCACCCTGCTTTCCTGAAGCACTTGCCCACTTAGTTCCAATAGCCCTGTGAGCTCATGTCCAGCCTTGTACAGCCCATCTGGACCTGAGCTCCTCGGGCTGTATGGGCATGGGCACTGTCCACACACACTCACTTCGTGGGTGACAGTGGTCACAGCAAAGGGGCAGCCGCTGGTCACAGTGCAGTGTGGCGTTGGCCTCTCTGCCTTGGGAATGCCCACCATGTCTGCACCACTGCAGGGCTCCTGCAGTCAGTCCTGCTCACTGCTCTGTGGAGGCCGAGACCTCACTGCTGTTGGGATGGCAGGACGGAATGTTCTAGAGCTAGAGGTCCGATGGGCGTACAACTTACGAAGCCACAACGACTCCAGACATTGCTCTGTCATTCATAGGAACCATTAGTGCTGCAAAAAGTTAGTGTATAGGGGCTGGAGAGATGGCTCAGGGGTTGAGTGCTCTTCCAGAGGTCCTGGGTTCAATTCCCAGCAACCACATTTTGGCTCACAACCATCTATAGTTTAAAAAAAAAAAAAAGAAAATAGCTGAGCCTGAGCCCTGTGGTAGAGCCTGTGGCCAGCATGCAGGAGGCCCTGGGCCCTGTGGTAGAGCCTGTGGCCGGCATGCAGGAGGCCCTGGGCCCAGCCCAGCACCACAGATCCCAGACATGGCAGCTCATGCCTGTCATCCCAGCACACAGGAAGTGGAGGCAGGAGAATCAGAAGTTCAGTGTCATCCTTAGCTGCATGGACAGTTCAGGGCCAGCCTGGGCTAATGAGACCCTATGCCTAAAATAAATAAATCTGATATAAAAGAGAAAATTCACCTTCTTTTGATATTCTGAGGAGGCACAGGTGGCTGCTGGCCGGGGCATAATGCAATAGTCAGTGCTGGTGGGGCGTAGTGGTAATATGCTTCCAGAACGTTCTACCACAGCAGAATGCCTGGGCATGGGAGCCGAGGAGAGACTGTGAGCCCAGGGGTACCGCCCTCTGTCTCCCAGAGGCCTCACTCCCTCCCCTCTCCTCCAGGCCTAACCGCCTGCTCATCCTACATGGCTTCCTGGATGAAAATGTCCACTTTTTCCACACAAACTTCCTTGTGTCCCAGCTGATCCGGGCAGGGAAGCCGTACCAGCTCCAGGTGAGTGGTTCTGGGGACGGTGGCCCAGGCTTCATCCTCCACATCCCAGGTCCTGCTTTGATGAGTCTATCTACAGGCTTGGGGGTGCCCCCACAATGATTAGAAACCCCAGAGGACTTCCCTGAGGGAGGGGCATCTAAAGGTGCAGGAGCTGGTGACGACTGAGGCCCAGGGAGCCTGAGACCCTGGGTCACTCAGCCTTGGAAGTGAGGGTGGGCAGAGCCTTGGCTTGAGGGGTAGGGCAGAGGCGGGGCTTCAGCAGTGAGGGACAGTGGACCTCAGTGGGGGCCCTGCCTGGAGGATGTCCCGTCAGACTGTGGGGGGCATGGGTTATAGAAGGCACAGGAAAGGAGAGGAGGCAGCTGTGGGTCTGGGGAAGGGACCCCCAGAGCCTGGATAAGGAGCCTCTGCCTTGTGTGGTACAGAGCAGGGGCCCCAGGTGAGCCTGTCTGTAGCCCTGCCTCTTCCTCTTTCTCTTCCACAGATCTACCCCAACGAGAGACACAGCATCCGCTGCCCCGAGTCTGGGGAGCACTACGAGGTGACATTGCTGCACTTCCTGCAGGAGCACCTCTGACCTCCGACCTCTGCCCTGATGCTGCCGCTGCTTTTCTTGCATTTTTTTAATCTTTTAGTTTTTGAAGCTTTCGATTTGTTTGCTTGCTGCTGCTTGGGGGCCAGGACAGAGGTGGTGGCCCCCATGTGGCCCTCCTTGGGCTGGTTAGGAGGAGACCATCACCGGGCCCACAGCCACAGGTGCTGCCAGGGTCCCAAACCTGCAGCACCACCCCAGCGCAGAAGCATGTGCTGCCCCCTCTCCCCCCCCCCCGCAGAGTTGTGTGTGTTTGGGGAGCATTTTAAATAATTATTTAAAAGACAGGAAGCAAGCGGTACCGAAATATAAAATTGGAGGTACGGCACTGGGCCGCTGGGACCCAACGTGCCCTCCCAATTCCCAGGCTATGTGGAGCTGCCAAGCCCTTGTCGGGGCCCCTTTTGCCCTGCCTGTCGTCTCTGCCCGACTTCTCCAACACCACCCAGGGGTGCCAGGGTTGGGAGTAGGACCCATCCTGACCTCAGGGGTGTAGCCCTTCCCAGCCCCCTCCCACTAGAGTTCGGGCATAAAGTAAAAAGTTAAAAAAAAAAAAAAAAAAAACCAGAAACCACCTCTACATATTATGGAAAGAAAATATTTTTGTCAATTCTTATTCTTTTATAATTATGTGGTATGTAGACTCATTAAACGATTCCAGATGGAAATTGTGCCGTGTGTAGCTCCTTCTCCAGCTGTGCTGGCTTCAGGGACTGAAGGATTGCAGGGGGCTCTGTGTGGTGTGGGTGCTGAATTGGGAGGCGGGGCGGGTACGGGGTCGCTGGGGTGCATAGGACACCCCATCCCAGCCCTCGGGAGGTGGAGGCCATAGTATTAGGAGTTAGTTCAAGGGCATCCTTGGATACTTGAGACCCTGTCTCAAAAACATTTTTTAATTATTGAAATTATTCCTTAAAGACGTATTATTTTTAATTATGTGAGTGTGTGCATGGGTATGCATGTGTTTGTGTCATGAATGTGGACGTTTCCAGAAGCCAGAGGAGTTGGGTGTGAGCCCATGACGAGGGTGTGTGGAATTAAATCCGAGTCCTTCGGAAGAGCAGTGCCTCCTAACTGCTGAGCCATCTCCAGCCTCCACAGCAATGAAATTATCAAAGGCTGGTCTTGGTGGCTATCCTAGGACTCAAAGGCACAGGCAGGCGGATCTCTGAGTTCTTAGTCAGCTGGTGGCTTCTGCCAGGTTCTGGCCCCACCCTGGAAGTACACATGTGGTCTGTGTACCCAGTGAAACAGCCCCCCTTCCCTTTCATTTGAAAGGAGTGTGGGGAACAAAGGGGTTCACCAGATGGCTCAGCAGATTAAGGTACTTGCTGCTAAGCCCCGCCACCCGAGTGGGAGAGAGAACCGACCTGGGAGCTGCCCTCTGCCTTCAGACATTGAATCCATAAATGTAAAAGGAAAGCCAATAGTGAGAGAAGGAAGGGATGGGGAGTGAGCGTGGGGCAGAAGCAGGCAGCATCCTCAGAAGCACTGGAGGCTAGTTTTGTATGCTACGTATTTATTTCCTGTTGTGCGCTGTTGCGCACAGCTGCTTGCCCAGCTCACATGCAGTCAGGAGAACTTGCAGGAGTCACTTCTGTCACCATCTAGTTCCCCAGGGCCTGAAGCACCCATCAGCAGTCTTGGCAGCAAGCCCCTTCCCCGTTACTTATCCATCTCGCCGACCGACTTGTCTCATTTTTAAGCATCAGAAAGCTGGGAATATTGCTCGGCAGCACAGGGCTGGCCAGGCTTGCTGAAGGCCCCATATTCTAGCCCCAGGAGAGCTAAGCAACGCCTGTGACACACACAGGAAGCCGCGAAAGTGGAGGAGTCCTCTGTCCCCTGCGCTGGGACAGCCTCCTTCTGTCCTGATAACACCTGCAGGATCCTGTGAGTGAACAGCCACTTGAGGCCACAGAGCCTGCTCTTCAGCCATAGACCACATAACTGGTGCCGGGGTGCAGGGGTCAGGGCAATCACTTAGCACACAAAAGCCCTGGTTTCCATCCCAGCACTGGAGGGGGGCAGGCAGAAGAATCAGGAGTTCAAGGCCATCCTGACATAAAACGAACCATCGGAAAAATAGAATAAACACATTTATTTTACTCTATGTGTGTGAGTGGTCTGTGCACCACATGCGTGCCTGGTGCCTCCAGAGGCCAGAAGAGGATGTTGGATCCCCTGGATATGGCGTTAGATTATAAACTGACATGTGGGTTCTGGGACTCAAACCTGGGTCCTCTGCAAGAGCAGCCAGTGCCTTTAATTGTTGAGTCATCTCTCCAGACCCCACAATAAAATATTTTTAAGCAGGTGGTGGTGGCGCACACTTGGAAGGCAGAGGCAGGCGGATCTCTGTGAGTTCAAAACCACCCTGGTCTATATAGCGAGTTCTATCACAGGCTCCAAAGCTACAGAGAAACCCTGTCTTGAAAAAAAAAATTAAACTTAAACTATAAACTGAAGTAAAATAAGTTACAAAACGAAAAATAATCAACAAGTTTAAAAATTGAAACTATTAAAGATAATCTTACAAAATAAAACACAGTCAAACCCCATGCTGCCTGAAAGGTCGAGACCTGAAGTCAATTTAAATAAGATATAAATGTAAAAATACCGGAATAGCTTGTGCACCCTAATTACAATGACGTCAGGCATTTTTATATGGGGAACCCGAATTTGAGCCGGAAAAAGGCCGATGTTACCCCTGCAGCACTGACACGAATTTTCTCCATTCATCCGAGGCCGCCAATCAGAGGCGCCGTCTGGAATCACGTGCCGAGTTGTGACCCCCCCCCCCCGCCCCAACACGGCGGCCAGAGCTGCGACGTGTGCGTCACTGTATCGCGACAACGCGTCCGGCGCAGGACGCTCCACATGTCCCTCGCCGCGCCCCGTCGGCGGGCGCCTGCGCAGTGGCCCGGAACCAAGATGGCGACGCCCAGTGGAGCCCTCTGGACCGCGCTGCTCCTGGTGACCGCGGCACTGGCGTTGGCGGGCGCCGTGTCCGAGCCCACCACCGTGCCGTTTGACGTGAGGCCCGGAGGCGTCGTCCATTCCTTTTCCCAGGACGTAGGGCCCGGGGTGAGTGCCGAGCCTCCCTCGGGGGCATCGCCGACCGGGCACTGCCGGGATTGGACGAAGCCAGTACCGGTTCGTCCCGGCGTCCGTCGGAATGGCAGGGGCGGGGTTACCCGGAGACCGGCTACTCAAAGGGGCGTGGCTGCCGCCGCCGCCGCCTGTCAAGCACTTCCTACCTACACGCACCCTTCCCTCGTCCAGCACATTCTAAAAAACGGGATTCTGGGTGGTGAGAGCCGTGGGTCTCAAGAGACTTCACTTCGCTATGCAGGTCCCCGAGAGGGTTGCTCGTGAGCTCGGACCAGAAAGGAATTACCCCAGGCCTTACACGGGTCCGGCCACTCCGATTTCCCTGTGACAGCTATGTCCCTGGTGACCATTTCCTGAGAACATTCTTATTTTTTGTTTTTGTTTTTTTGAGACAAGGTTTCTCTGTAGCTTTGAAGCCTGTCCTGGAACTAGCTCTGTATACCAGGTTGCCCTCGAACTAACAGAGATCTGCCTGCCTCTGCCTCCTGAGTGCTGTGGTTAAAGGCGTGGACTACCACAGCCCGACTTGAGAACACTCTTGTAGCCCAGAGCTTCCTGGCAGGATTGTGTTGCAGGAAGGAAGTAACACAGGCTCCAGTGTCTTAGGCACTCCCAGGTACTGAATCAAAGACTGCTGAAGGCCACGTGACCTTCCCAGGAAACACCCCCCCCCCAGGGATTATGCAAACTTCTTTTTCTTTTCTATGTACTGAGACAGAACCTAGGGTCTCACACAGGCTAGGATTCTACCCAGCTTCAGCCAGAGCTCTACTGCAGATGTACGTCCAAGGCCTCTCTCTACTGTTTTACCTTCGGTCACCAAGACCGGCCTTCATCTTGCAGTTCTCCCGCCTTGGCTTCCTTGGTTGCTGTTAAACCCGGAGAGGGAGCATTCTGACAGCCATCTGATTAAAGCAAGCTATATTTAAAAGTGCACAAGGGACTGACTGGCCAGCAACTGCCTTCCCCTCCCTGGCTTTTGAGGTCCTTTTTTTTTTATAGAGAAGCATTAGGATTTATAGAAAACAGCTGTTGAGATAATTGAGGCACTTGGGGATCGAGGTAGACCAATGTGAGAACACACTGTGTGGAAAGAGAGTTGCCACAGGCGGTCAGGAGTTCAGCAAGGCAGAGGAGGTCAGAAGTTCAGCATAGGTTGAAAAGCGTGTTTCCCAGGATACATTTGGCTTAGGAAACAGAGATTTATGCCTGTAAGGCATGGAGACTTAATAACAGTTCGGTCAACGTGACTCCTATTTGGTTTCACCTTCGCTGAGGTGATGGGCATGCAGCCCCACGCCCAGCATGCTGGGGTCTTGATTCTGCGCAGTGAGACACCGGCTCTTGAGCCTCCTTCTCTTTCTCTTTTCCAGGGCAAGTTTACATGTACATTCACATATGCTTCCCAAGGAGGGACCAATGAGGTGAGTCACTCGGGGTCTCAGGCAGCTGGTGTCGGGACGTGGCCTCTTTCACGTGTGGGCGTGTTCTTGGCAATCAGCACAGAGACAGTGCAGGCTCAGTGCATTTTCTTTCTTTTTGAATCTTTTTTCCCCAAAACAGGGTTTCTCTGTAGCTTTGGGGCCCCGTCCTAGAACTCTCTCTGTAGACTAGACTGGCTTTGAACTCAGAGATCCGCCTGCCTGTGCCTCCTGAGTGCTGGGATTAAAGGTGTGCGCCACCACTGCCCAGCATTCTTTTTGAATTTTGGAAAAGATTTATTATTTTTTTAGTATGTATGGGTATTGTGCCTGCATGGTGTCTATGTACCACATATGTGCTTGGTGCCCGTGGAGACCGCAAGTGGGAGACACGGCTCCTGGACCTGAAGGTACAAACAGCTGTGCACCGCCATGGCGTGTTGGCAGAGCAGCCAGTCCTCTTAGCCTCGGAGCCACCTCCCAGCCCTGTGTTGTGCATAGGCAGGGTCACTTTCATGTTTTCCAGGCTGACCTCAGTCTTTGGGCACTCCCCTGCCTCCCATCTCGCAGGAGTTGACTGACAGCCTTGAGCTGCCATTCCTGTGAGACTCTTCCTCACTCCAGAAAAGAGGTAGCTTGTCAGTCCGTCATTCGTGGTTCAGAGTCCAGGATGACCCCTCGTGTGCTACGTGAAGGAGCAGTCAGGGCATCCCCACTGCATCCTGTCCCAGTCCCTGCGGGTGAGCCCAGTTACCACTGCAGGAGGGTGGGGGAAGCCTGTGGTGCTCCTGGCTGCACTGGAGCTGCCTCCCTCCCACTGCAGCAAGGACAGCAGAGCTCAGTGTTGTAGCCGAAAGCACTGGATTCTCAGTCACAAGAGCCTGAAAGGACCCCAGGCTGCCTTGGCTTTTGCCTCATGGAGCCAGTGACGTACAGTGCCAGTCCCTGACTATTGACCCGTGTGTGATCGGTGACCACTGTGGTTCTATTGACCCGTGTGTGATCGGTGACCACTGTGGTTCTATTGACCCGTGTGTGATCGGTGACCACTGTGGTTCTATTGATCCGTGTGTGATCGGTGACCACTGTGGTTCTATTGACCCATGTGTTATCGGTGAACACTGTGGTTCTATTGATACTGATCCATGTGTGATCGGTGAACACTGTGATTCTATTGATATTGATCCGTGTGTGATCGGTGAGCACTGTGGTTCTATTGATATTGATTCGTGTGTGATCGGTGAGCACTGTGGTTCTATTGATCCCTGTGTGATCGGTGAGCACTGTGGTTCTATTGATCCCTGTTTGATCAGTGAGCACTGTGGTTTTTATTTGTCAATTTGTTTTTGTCAAATTTGTTGGTGCTTTTTGACAGAATCTTATCATGTATCCCTGCTCCACCTGCCTCAGTGTCCTGAGTGCTAGATGACAGTGTCACTACCCGTGGGCAGTGGGATCTTTGTTATTTCAAGATGGTCTTTGCTTGCCGGGCGGTGGTGGCGCACGCCTTTAATCCCAGCACTTGGGAGGCGGAGGCAGGCGGATCTCTGGGAGTTCAAGACCAGCCTGGTCTACAAGAGCTAGTTCCAGGACAGGCTCCAAAAAAAAAAGATGGTCTGTGCCTTAGGAGGCTTGCCTGAGCGGTCAGCCTGGGACAGTCCTCAGGGCAGCCTGTGAGCTGGCAAGGGGGCAAACTCCCAGCAAGACCATCCCCCTACCGTAGAATGCAGGATGGTACAGCAGCATAGGGAGCATTAAGGCCAATCACCATGCAGTTAGATGCCTGTGCACCATGGGGGCCAGAGCCGGTCATTTACGGGACATAGTGGTGGCTACGGTACCTTGCACATGAGTGTTCTGTGCAAAGCTTTCCATGAGGCCAGCCAGTGAGTGGAAGTGGCTCAGTGTCCATGGACGGACGGGCATGCACAGCCCAGCACCTGTGAGCAGCGTTGAGCACGGACAGGGATAGCAGCCCTGCTTGTGACGTGGAGTGCGTTGAGCATGGATATAACAAGTGAGAGTAAAGGAGAGAGAGGCTGCAGAAGGCCTACACCTTCAGCCAGGTGCTCGTGGTACCCAGCAGAGGCCAGAAGGGAGTGTCTGACTCCCAGGACCAGGTATGGAGGGTTGTGCACTGCCATGTGGATGCTGGAAATTGAACCCAGGTCCTCTACAAAAGCAGCCAGTGCTCTAACCACTGAGCTGTCTCTACAGACCTTCAGTCAGTAACAAACTAGCAGTGGGTGCAAGATGGCCGTCAGCTGGCGTCTGCTAGCAGCCCCACAACAAGCATCCGGCCTCTTTCCCGCTGTAGGCACGATTTAAAAACACATAGTTTTTAACATGTATATATAGTAAGGTTTGTGAATGTGTACACGTATGTGTGTTGCCCACTGAGATTCCCTAGAGCTGGAGTTACGAGTGGTTGTGGACTATGCTGTGGGTGCTGGGGACTGAACCTGGGTGTCCTAGTCAGGGTTTCTATTGCCATGACAAAACACCATGGGTTTATGGGTTTATTCGGCTTACACTGCCACACTGCCATTCACCATTAAAGGAAGTCACACAGGGCAGTAACGCGGAGGCGGAGCGGGTGCTGCTCACTGGCTTGCTCCCCATGGCTTGTTCAGCCTGCTTTTTTTTTTTTTTTAAAGATTTATTTATTTATTATGTATACAACATTCTGCCTCGATGTATGCCTGCACGCCAGAGGAGGGCGCCAGATATCAATACAGATGGTTGTGAGCCACCATGTGGTTGCTGGGAATTGAACTCTGAACCTCTGGAAGAGCAGCCAGTGCTCTTAACCTCTGAGCCATCTCTCCAGCCCTCAGCCTGCTTTCTTATAGAACCCAGTACCACCAGCCTGGGATGGCACCTCCACAGTGGGCTGGACCCTCCCCGTCAGTCACTGATTAAGAAAACGCCCTACAGGCTGGCTGCAGCAAGATCTTCTGGAAGCGTTTTCTCAGTCGAGGCTCCTTTCTCTCTGGTAGCTCCAGCTTGTGTCAAGTTCACATGAAACGAACCAGGACAGCAGGTCCTCAGGACAGCGTCTGTGTGGCTAGCTGCTCAGCAGGCTTCAGTCATCTCGGCTGTTCTGCTCTAGCCTTTGCTGCCGGCTACAGGCTGGGACCAGCGCTCCCCCAAAACCTTGGAAACAAATGCAGATCCCACTTCAGAGCCAGCTTCAGGGAGCTCAAGGGACAAATGACAATGACAATTTCCATTACATGGAGTGGAGCGTGGCCTGACCTGCCACGGCCAGACGGAACCTCAGAAACACTGCGCTCAATGAGGAAGTGGATGTACTGGGACCTGGAGGGAGCTAGGGGGAGCTGAGCACCAGGCTTTCCTTGTCACTGATGGGGCAGAGGGTCTGACGTGTGGTGGTGAGGGCTGCACCATGGACCTGGCCTCACTGATAGCGTTTTAACGTGAATGGTCCCGGGAAAGGAAAATTCCCACTTTATTTTGTCAGTGGGTTTAGGGGTTGGCTGTGCCTGAGATTAAATGAATATAAGAAGGGCCAGTAGCAGGTGGGTGACAGCACTCTGCGCTGAGGCAGGAGGATCAGGAATTCAAAGTCACTGTCAAGAATACCCTGGGCTACAGGAGACCCTGTTCTAATGGAAAAGCAAGGCATGGACCTCTTAGCGGCATTTCTCGGATGGGATGGGCTGTTTCTGGGCACAGAGGCTCTGGAGTAGCCTGTCAGTTCTGGATTAGTCTGTCTGTGGACTGACCCAGAGCCAGCAGTTTGACCCTGGCGTGAGTGCAGTTGGGGCTCACGGCTTACCGAAAGGCAGAATGTAGCCAAGCGGCCACAGGGTCCCCTTGTAATTGATGTAAACATGGCCTGCCTTAGCATTGGAAAACCTCTTCTTTGAAGCCATGGAGAGCAGTAATGGGAGCCCCAGGGCTGGGGATACTTGCTGTGAGAACTAGTTGGCTAGGGTTTTTGTTGTTGTGATTTAATTTTAGTTGTTTTATGTGTATGGTGTTTTGCTTGCATGGATGCCTGTGCACCAGCTGCATATCCTGATGTGTGTGGAGACCAAAAAAAGGCATCAGGTCCCCTGTAACGAGTTACAGGTGGCTGTGAGCCTCCGTGTGGTTCTGCAACAAAACCTGTGTCCTCTGGAAGAGTGGCCTGCGCTCTTCGGTGCAGAGCCGTCTCAGCCCTGGCTGCTATGGGTCGTTGTTTGAAACAGGCTTTCATAGTGTAGTCCTGGCTGGCCTTGGACTTACAGTGTAGCCCAGGCTGGCCTTGAACTCACAGAGCTATCTGCCTCTGGCTCCTGAATGCACTACTGTGCCTGTATTGTTTTTGTTTTTTTGCAACAGGGTGTCTCATGTAGCCCAGGCTAGCTTCCTATGTAGCCAAGGCTAACTCCTGATTGTCTCGGGTGCTGGGGTGACAGACATGCTCCACTGTGCCCTGTTTCTGGGGATGGAGCCAGGGCCCCATGCTAGACACTGACCCACAGGCCCCAACCCTTATCTAGTTTTTAGACAGGATCTCACTGTTGCTAAGCTGGGAGCCATTCTCAGGGTGTCGTCCTTTATGGGGAAAAAAGTGACATAGGCAGTGTCTTGATCCACTGTAGGGCAGCGTGTGGCGGCCTTGCAGAGAGGCCCACCTGTCCTTGCTCAACAAGCCTATCCTCTCTCCCCAGCAATGGCAGATGAGCCTGGGGACAAGCGAAGACAGTCAGCACTTCACTTGTACCATCTGGAGGTGAGCCGCAGCCACTGCGTATGTGCGGGTGGATGGGGGTGTCCTGCAGACACTGTGTATGTGCGGGTGGATGGGGGTGTCCTGCAGACACTGTGTATGTGTGGGTGGATGGGGGTGTCCTGCAGACACTGTGTATGTGCGGGTGGATGGGGGTGTCCTGCAGACACTGTGTATGTGCGGGTGGATGGGGGTGTCCTGCAGACACTGTGTATGTGCGGGTGGATGGGGGTGTCCTGCAGACACTGTGTATGTGTGGGTGGATGGGGGTGTCCTGCAGACACTGTGCGTGTGCATTCCACATTTGATTCAGGACAAGTAAGGAACAGACTGGAGAGTGGCCCTGTGACCTTGGGGAAGCTGCCAGTATGTGTATTAACACCGCAGCACCAGGAAGGGGATGGGAGGAGGGCAGAGAGCTGGGAGTTAGGTCACAGGGCAGGAAATCACCACAGTGCTTTTTGGCAAATTTTAAAAATTGAGATAGAGCCCTGCCTTCTGTGATGTACAGTCAGCTGCTGTTTCTCTTAATCACCAGCTCTGGGAGGCAGAGGCAAGGGGATCAGGAGCTCAAGGCTAGCCTTGGCCAGCTTGGGCTACCAGATACCTCATCTCTCCTACCCCAGGGGCTATCCCCCTCCCCGTCATCCCCAGCACACACAGAGCTCCTTCCCATCTCTGACTTCACCTTCCTGGAGATTCCTACCATGGAGTCCCACGTCATCAGGCTCTTTCTGGGGCCTCGACTGGGTCCCACCAGCATTGACTGTCTCCCTACAGGCCTCAGGGGAAGTCCTACCTGTACTTCACACAGTTCAAGGCCGAGGTCCGGGGTGCTGAGATCGAGTATGCCATGGCCTACGTGAGTGCCAGTCTCGGGGACCTGAGGACAGAAGGGGTCTCCAATACCATTCACTGCAAGGGACTCAGCCATCCCACTGACCCCAGGGCTCCCACATGAGTTGGGGCCCTCAGCAGAAGGCCTACAATGTGGGCTTCTGGCCCATCCCTCTACATAGACCTCCTTTGCCCCAGGAGGCCAGAAAAATGGGGAGGTTGGCAGTAGAGGCACCCTGTGGAAAAATGGGAGGAGCCAGGGTGGAGCAGGGTAGCCTCGGTCTTCTCCTGTCCCTCAAGTCAGCCAGTGACAGGCTCAGCATACCAGAGCCGTGTAGCAGCCTCCTCAGGAGTGTTACTGGGAGCCCAGGTGACACTGAGGCTGTTACCTGTGAGCTGACCCTCCTGGGATCCCTGCTGGGAATGCCTGGCTTTAGATCACAGAGCTCAGGAGACAAACCAAGGGGACTCGAGGGATTTCCTCTATGTGTGTCTACTGAAGTGTCCTGTTCTCTTTCAGTCCAAAGCTGCGTTTGAGAGAGAGAGTGATGTCCCCCTTAAAAACGAGGAATTTGAAGTGGCCAAGACAGCAGGTAGGTGAAGATGGGACCCAGCAGGCGGAAGGCATGCAGCTCCTGGCAGGGGGCCTCACACTACGCTGCGGATGGGCGGTGGGCTAAAGAGAAGCCTCTTGCAGCGTGGACCCTGTGCCGCAGCTGTGCCAGTCGATTTAGCTGGCGACATCCTAGATCCTCACCTGCACTGGTCTGCCTCTGCGGCAGCGGGTCCAAGGCGGCTGCTGTAGAAAGCAGAGCTCCCCAGTCTGGAGTGTCAGGCTCTGAGGACCTGGTGATGGAGACACTGGCAGAGCCCAGGGAAGTGGGTCCATGTCCTCAAAAGGACTTATGGGGGTCCTCCTTGGCCACGCCCCTAGCTCCCCACTGGGGGGTTCTAGGTGGGGCTCCAGAGTAGCTACATTGGCAAGCCTGTCCCAGTGCCTGGCTCTGCAGTTTTCCACTTTCATTCCTCTCCCGCCCTGCCGTGCCCTCTGCTGGCACTGCCCCAATTCCAGCATTTCATGTGGCATCTTGTCAGGGCCCAAATGTGCTTGTGTCTTGCAGTGTCTCACAGGCCTGGGGCCTTCAAGTCTGAGCTCTCCAAGCTTGTGATCGTAGCCAAGGCAGCACGCTCGGAGCTGTGACCCCCGCCTGCCTGGGCGACTGCCCACTACTTGTCTGGGATGCTGGTGTTGCCCTGTCTGCAGCTCACGCTGCAGCACTGCTGAACTCTGAGCCTGTCACCCATCTCCCCAGGTGCAGGGCATGCTGGGGGCCCGGGGGAGGGGGCCTGGCTTTGCGCAAGTCAGGTGTGGTTCCCCCTCTAAGCTGCAGGTGAGCACCCCATCCCCGGGACTGTTTCTTACCCACCCAAGGCACCTCCATTCAAAAGGAGGGGAAGAGACGGAGCAAATAAACCAATAAACACCACCCCAGCTGGGGCTCTCTGGGCTCAGGACTCAAGCCTGGATTCCACTGCCTTCCACGGTAGCAGCAGCAGGCTCAGCAGACACAGCAGGCATGTGTCTCCCCCAAGAGCGACTATCACATGGCCCCCAGCCCTTCATGGGGGATTTTGTGTCTGTGTCATTTCTGTGCCCACGGAGGCCAGAATAGGGTTTCGGGTCCCCTGGATCTAGAATCACAGGTGATTGTGAGCTGCCTGTGGGTGCTGGGAATCGAACCTAGGTCCTCTGCAAGAGCAGCCAGTGCTGTTGAGCCACCTTCCCAGCCACAGTAAATCATTAGAAACAAAAATAACCTGCAGCCAGAGAAACCTACGTAAGCTGAAAGGTTTTCAGAGGGGTCCCTTGGCCCCCCAGCTTTGACCTTGGTCCTGACCTCTGGCCAAACACCATGTGAGAGTCTGGGGCTGCCAGGCAGGCCTGTACCTGACACAGGCCTGTAGGGTGCTGCGGTCCCCCATTGTTTAGGGGTGGCGTCCCATAGTGTGGACTAAGCAGCCTCCTGCTGCCCTCAGTTTCAAGGAGGGGACCCTCTGTGAATGGGAGGCTAGCCTGGGCTATATAGTAAGTTCCAGGATAGCTCAGACTGTACAGTGGAACCCTGCTTCAATACAGGGGAGCTGACCTTTAGGACACTGAGTTTCCGAAACTGAGGACTTCCCATGCTGCATGTGCCCCGGAAGGACATAGCCATCAGCGTTGTCTGAGGGGCCCGAGGCTCGGGGCTCCAATACCTGGGTGTAGGTGATATAGTCCTAGCCTCATGCCCTTAGGTGTGAAAGGACCCAGGGATGAAGTGAGGTTACTGACTGCCTGGCTCACCCCATGTACCTTTGAGGGTCCCCAGCTGTTAGCAAGAATACAGAGCAGTTAGAACTGGGTGCCGGGACACAATGGCCCTTTAATGTTTAATCTTAAATTTCTGAGGAAAAATTTTGTGATGCTCAGCACGAACCTAGTGCCTCAAACACAGGAGGTCAGTGAGGCCACCAGCCTGTGTGGAACCTGGTCGGGGAGGGGCTGGCAGGGGAGGAGCTGCCTCCTTAGGGCCTCTGACATAGACTCTGGGTAGCAGGCATGGCAGCAAGCACCTTTACCCATGTCACCAGCCACACGGTGGCACCTTTAAATATTTTTTCTAGCATAGGCCTGTGATCCCAAGCATTCAAGCAGTTGAGGCAGGAGGATTGTGTCACCCTGAGAATCTAAACGTAAAAAGGAAATAAGGTTAGCTTGATGGCCGAGGCTCCGTATGGCATACCAAACCCAGTGGCACAAAATAATAAAGGATTATGTCCTGGTGTGCTCTGGCTTTCCTTTTCATCTCACCCTTAGGAACACAGCCCTGCAAATCTCAGTCTGTTCCCCTCATTGGTCCATCTGGTCAGCATGAGGGTTTCATCTGGGGACAGCGGCATGCATATTGGTGTCCCACTTTCAAGATCTGGCCCAGGGCCTCAAGTGAGACGAGTTCCCCTGTGGAGTTGGTGTGAGAGAGGGAGGCTTCCAGGACCTGACCCCTTGCTGCCCCGTGGGCTGGGGCCCCAGAGCTGGCAGGAGCTGGGATGCCAGCTCTAGGGATGCTGAGGCTAGTCCGGGCTATAGGGTAAGATACTGTTTTGAAAACAACAAATATTAACAATCAGTAGTTGTTGATAGAATCTCTGTGTTGGCCACGTTTGAAACACTAATAAAGCCTTTGTGACCCCCAGCCAGGCCCCACAGGATACAGGTGGTAAACTTTGTCCTAAATACTCACAACTGTGGGTGTTGTGTTCTCCCCATCTCCCAGATCACCTTCACACCTGCAGCATTGCACAACCCCGGCAAGTGCAGACGCACTGTCCTCACTGTCTCGGGTCTCCCACCTGGGGCATTGCTACCCCTGGCCACATCCCACCCCTCACTGGTGATTCTAGAGAACTAACCCACACCTCAGCTGTGCACACACGTTACTGAAGCCTGACCACCTTTCCAAGGATAAAAGTCTGTCTCATAGTGACCATAAGGTTAAGCTAGGTATTACGTCATGCTCCTACATGTGTGGTCAGGGTTGGTTACAAGTCCTGGCTGTCATACAAAGAGATAAGGTGGGTTTGTTTCCCAAATACGGCATTATAATTTAACACAGACATGTATCTCCAGCAGCCCTGCCCTGCTGAAGCTGGGGACAGCTTCTGAGGTCGCCAGGCTCCTCCCTCCCAGTGAGGACTCCAGCTTTCCCACCAGCTCAGTCGCTCCTTGCTGACTGGTTCTCTGCTTCCACTGTGTGGTTTTGGGGATTGAGCCACCTCAGGGACGGTTTCTTCCTGCTCTTAGATGCTGGGTGCAGTCTCCAGATGGGGTCTCCTCCAGATCCCAACACGGAAGTGTGCTCATCCCCAGCCCACATGGCGGGCTGGGATCCCTTCAACCCTAGACTGGTGCCAGGGCTTGAACTCCATTTCCTAAAGCGAGTCACATTGGGAGGCCCTGAGAGTTAGGAAACGAACATAAACATTGGGGGGGGGGGGGCAGGGAGCAGGGCTTGAGGAGTACAATTTTTACTCTCGAGTCTCCATGACCTTATCTGAAAGAATGACAGTGCCCAACAATGAGATGGTGGAGCACACCGGTGACCCCAGCACTCAGGAGGCAGCGGGAGCAGCATCAGTTCAAGGTCAGCCTCGTCCCCGTAGAGTCTGGGGTCATGCTGGGCTACAAGACAGCTTCTCGGAAGTAGAAAGGAGCAAAGCTGGGACGAACACTGATGTTCTGGAGAGGTCTCCGGCCAGGTCAGATGCCGCCCTCGTCCAACATCCTTCCAAGGCCGTCGCAGATGCGGCGCAGGTGGCTCCTATACGGCTCCGCTGGGCCGTACAGCGCGGCCAGGAAGTCGCCGTTGGCAAAGTGGCCGAAGACATGGTTGATGCGGCCGTGGGACTTGGCGGTGAGATGAGAGCCGGTGGCCTGGTGCAGCAGGTCCCGGCACTCCAGCAGCCCCGCGGCCAGCACGCGCCGGTCGAAGGTGAAGTCCACTTGGTGGAAGCTGAGGGCCGTCATGGCCAGGCTGCGCATGCGGCCCTGGAACCTTCGCAGCTGGGCCAGCTCGTCGCCGTCCAGCTGACCCGCCCGCAGCAGCACGGCCAGCTTCACGGCCACCTTCACCAGATTCTTTACCACCCTCTGTGCCTCCTTCCGGCTGCGGGTGAACTCCTTGGTGGCCTGGTACAGTTCGTCCAGGATCTCGCTGCTGGTGTCGTCCGCAAACACCGCCACCATGGCCTTAGAGGCCATCTTGCTGAGCACTTTCTTCTGGGCCTGCAGGGCCAGGCTCTTCGTGCTGAAGGTGTCCATGGCCCTGTGGGATGAGACACAGCGTTTAGGTCCAGGGAATGCTTGTGGCTCGGCACCACCCCTACCAGCTCGCCAGATGAGACTGTTCCCTTGCTGGACGTTGAAGACATTTGAGCCGACAAGCAGGTGCAAGCAGTTCTAGAATTTTCCCCAACAGAAGTACTCAACACAACTGAGACTTCTCATGCCTCTTACCTAATAAACTCCTACACACCTCCCAGTGCCCAGAGCCCCTGACTCCCGTTGGGTACTCCCTCTGAGCCACACAGGGCTGGACGGCTGCGACCACCCCCTCCACCCCCGAAACACAGAGGGAAGTCAGGGCCTGACCCCTCTTCTGCTGTGTTTCCGGGGACCCCTGGCCTCTCCGGAAGTGCCAAGGGACACACAGAGGCTGTATTGAGACCAGGATCTGGGCCTTGGTGGGCCATGCTTCATGGCCAGGCCAGCAGTGCCCACCCTCCAGCCCACTCACCCCGATTCCCCTACAAAGCCGGCTTTTGTGTGAACCCAGACTCCAGGCAGCCCCCACTCTCACCATCCTCTCCTTGGCCTTAGCGGTCAGGGGCACAAGGATGGCTGGGCAGCTTCCCTGCCCCCCCCCCCCCGCGTTCAACACCCCCGCGGTGTACTGGCCAGGGCCCGGACAGGGCTGTTGACACAGGGCGCCCGCCATGTGAACCCATTTCGTCACTTGGGCCAACGTCATTCTGCAAAGAGCACAGCCTTCCTGAGTGGCCTGGGCGGAGAATGCACAATGGTGGGTGAAATCTGTCCCATCAAAGTCCACTCACACAGCAGGAGAGGACGGTCAGTCCCCACGTGGCCCCACACCTGATTGCTCCTGTCTCCTCCTTGGTGTCTGATCCTGTCTCCTCCTTGGTGTCTGAGGGCACCACACACACCAGACACGGCACACCTGCCTCCCCAGCACTTGGAGGCCAAGGGGTGGGCGGGGGGAGGATCGGAGGTTCAAGGTCAGCCTCTCAGCCACTGACTCTCCTGTGCAGGCCAGGACTGGAGGCCCAGGGGCTGTTTCCTAATTGATACTAGACAAAGGGGAACTCTCAGTAACAAAGTCTGGAGTCTCTGTTTGGTTTGGGGGCTGTGTGACTCCAGAGGAGTGCTGACCCTCTCTGGGCCTTGCTTTCCCCATGGACAAAGCCAAATTGAACTCCTTGGCCCAGGAGTGAAGCTGAGAGCGTGGACGGACTTCCGCAAGACTGGCGAGGCACAGCTGTGGCCTATCCTGGCCATTCCTATTGAGCCGCCACCTGGGGCAGCCAGCTGCTGGCCTCCACTTCCTGTTCTGAAACCCATTGTCCTGACCGACCAGGATGTCCCTGTCTTCCTGCATAAGGGGCCTGAGTGTGGCCATGTGAGGCCTTCATGGCAGGGACTTTCCCAGGGATGAGGTGCTGTGGCCTTGGTCCCTGACGCCCCCCCAACAGTGCCACAGCACCCAAAGTCTGGAGTTAAAGAGCCCAGGCTACCCTCTAGAACTCGGCCCCACACTCATGCAGTCACTCAACTGCCTGGTGGGTATTTATGGAGCACCAGTTGTATACCCAACACCAGGGCACAGAAGTGATGCAAGGAGACCCTGTCTCTGCATCCCCGGTGCCCCGGTTCTGCCCTCTTCTGGTTATACATGAACTCGGGACCCTCTTGTGCCTGGAGTTGACCCCTCCACCCCTTAATTCATTTCTTATGTATTTTCATTTTTTCCCCTTTTTCCAGGCAGGGTCTCATATCACACAGCCTGACCTTTGACTCGGTCATAATCCTCCTGCCTCAGCCTCCCGACTATGAGATGACAGGTGTGTGTCACCTGTGACTGGCTGGAACCCCAAAATCATCCTGAAGAGGCCTTGTGAACCAGAAATGCAAGAAACCAATAAACAGGGAGAAAAAAAAGCAAAAATTGGGCCTGGGGATGGGAAAAGCTTGGAGCAAGGGCCACAGAAAGGCCAGTTGTCGGCAGCCTTTGGAGCCTCAGGACAGGAGGGACAGATTGGAGGGAGGGGACAGTAGTGGGAGGTGCATGCGCAAAGGACCCAGGGCAGGGCCACATTGTTCACCACAGGTCACCACAGGTCACCCCAGGTCACCACAGCCCCTCTCCCTGCGGGACAACAGCCTAAGTCCAAAACAGAGCCCCAGGTCCTCTCCTGGGCCCTGGACTGCATCTTAGTCTTGATGGGTTTTTAAAGCTTTTGTGATGTTTGAGACAAGGTCTCTACGTGTAGCCCAGGCTATCCTGGAACTCATCTGGGTCTTCCTGCCTCTGCCTCCTGAGTGCTGGGGTTAAAGCTGGCTGCTGCCACTGTCTGGCTACCTTAGACTTCTCATCTGCTGCCAAGCCCTACTTGAGTTTTGTACTCTGAACCCCATCAGTTCCGGCAGCTGCTGGCACTCCACAACAGCTCCCAATATTCCTCCAAGTGCCAGGCTCCCTGCTGGGGACCTTGGCTTAGGTGAGACCTTCCCTTTGGGTGGGGACAGATGTAGCCTGGTGTCTGGCTCTGAACTCAGAGATCAACCCGGCCCCTGCAACGAGGCCAAGCCACAGGGCCTTTGCGTGACTGCGGTGACTTCTGGAAGCCGGAGGCCTTTCTGAGCCTAAAGCTCCAGGCTCAGAAGCACTTCCTTGACCCACTTCCTGCTAGTTCTTTCCCCCCAGTTTTTTGGTTGCTTGTCTTTGGGTTTTGTTTTTTTGAACCAGGCTGACCTGATCCTGCCCCTGCCTCCTGAGTGCTGGGATGAAAGGCGTGTGCTGCCATGCCTGCTGTATATGGTGCTGGGGGTGGCACAGCTCTGATCTGTGGGTACAGGAGGGAGGGGAGAGGCTGGAGGGATAGGAGGCAGGTCTTGGCGGGGAGCACGGGGCATACAGCTGGTGCTCAATAAATGTGTTTGCAGTGATTAATCTATTCCTGAATGCTAAGTGGGCTGTGGAGAACTCTGGAAAGAGAGGTGTGGAAAGGCAGGTGGACCCCAGTGACTGGAGGTTCAAACCAGGGTGACCCACATGTGTCTCCCATACCCATTTCCCCCCTTGGCCCACCCAAGCACAGTCCGGGGAGCCCAAGGTTGGCCTAGAGCACCCACATCACTTCCGAGGTATCTTGGTAGCCTTGGGACCTTGGGACTTCGCTACACCCAGTCAAGTGTCCTCAGAGACTGCTGAGCGGGTAAAGTCTTGCTGTAAACATATGGACCTGAGGGCCTGGCGGTGGTGGCGCACGCCTTTAATCCCAGCACTTGGGAGGCAGAGGCAGGCAGATCTCTGTGAGTTCGAGACCAGCCTGGTCTACAAGAGCTAGTTCCAGGCAGGCTCCAAAACCACAGTGCTGTGCCAGAAACCTCCAGATTAGGCTACAGTGCTAGTTCTGAGTCTTGTGAGAACCAGCTCTGTAAATTAGACAAGTCATTTGTCTGGGGTTCAGTTTCCTGTCTGTAAAGAACAGATAGTAATATCTGTCACGCCTGCTTGCCAGGGTTGCAGTAGGCTCGAATGAGGTAATAATGTCAACTTCTTCCATAAACCTGGGCTGTAAATGTGCCCTTGGTAAATTGTACTGTCTGCTGAATATACTCTTTACTGCATTTTAAATTAAGACAAAGAAAGATGGGGTTCATTTGCATTGAAACCTAATTCACACACACTTTNGAAAAACCAAAAAAAAAAAAAAAAAAAAAAAATATGGACCTGAGTTCTCAAGTCCTGACAGAAAAACCAGTGTGGAAAGCTGGGCAATGGTGACACACACCTTTAATCCTGGCACTCTGGAGGCAGAGGAAGGCGGATCTCTATGAATTTGAGGCCAGCCTGGGCTATAGAGTGAGTTCCAGGACATTCAGAGAAACCCTGTCTCGGAAAAAAAAAAAAACAAACAAACAAAAACAAGACAAAACAAAAAACCAAAACAAAACCCAGGTGGGATGACCCTGCTGTAAGCCCACAATGGGGATCCCTGGCTCACTGGCCCTCAGGGATTCTCAGACAACAAGCCGCAACAGCTGGGGGCACCTGGACTCCACTCTCCACAGAGGCACACTGGCAGCCTTGCCAGGATGACCCCTGGAGCCAGAGCCTGCTGGGCCTCACGAAATAGTTCCTGTCACATCAAGTTCTAATGAACAAACAAATGTGATCTATGTCACCCTTTGTGACATTCGCCCGCAGGTGCCACTCACACCCCAACCTCAGAACCTCCTTGAATGCCCTCTGGCTCCCAGGAAGGCAGCTCTGAGGCCAGGCAGTTGGAGAGCAAGTGAGCGTGGTCCCTCTCATCCCAGCAGGAGGATGTCTGTGGAGGCCAGCCCAGGCTACAGAGTGAGTTCCAGGACACCCTGGGCTACACATCGACATCCCCAAGCCCAGAATAAAAAGTCTTCATTGCAAATGCTGAGACACCCCCGTCCTCATGCCTCACCCCTTTCTCACACCCCCCACTTGCTTGTGGCGCCTGACGTTCCTTGCTCACTGCCCTGACTTGATTGTGTAAGTGATGTCTCCTCTCATACCTCACACGCAATCGATCCTTTGAATCCCCAGAGGTGGGTGGGCCCTTGTTCCTGGGCACAGCTGACACCATTTCCCTCCCCAGTCCCCAGGCCCCGTCTCCATGGTGGCCACAGCCAGCCACACAGTAACCAAGCCAGGCTTCTGCAAAGGTCTGAGGATCTTTGTGGGGTCCTTGCAGTCACAGTGGCCACAGGAGGCACATGAAGCTGGGGAGCCCCTGTGCCATTTCCAACAGACTCAGGACAAACATGGACACAGGCCACAGCCAGGCCATGGGGTGTCTACGCTGTCAGTCACTGTGTGTGGTGCTGGGGACTGACGACCTCCACTGTGCACCCAGCCCAGAAGCCAGGCCTGGCCACCAAGTCCCAAGGACACTCCTGTCCCCACCCCTATCATGAGATCACATTTGCCAGCCCTCAGTCCTGGCTTCTCTGTAGGATTCCTGAGTTTCGAACTCAGGTCTTCAGGCTTAGACAGCAAACACTTCACGTGCCAGGCCTCTCTCCACCTTACACATGCTTTTGCTTCTCTCTCCTCACCCCTTGTTTTGTTTTGAGACAGGGTCTTTCTATGTACACCAGGCAGGCTGACTTCCCCTGCCTCTGTCTCCCCGAGTGCTGGGATCAAAGGCCTGCACCATCACACCCAACCTAACCTTTGAATCCTTGTTTTGTTTTGTTTTTGTTTTTTTTCTGTGTGTTTTTATTGGGGTTTATCATGGGTGGGAACCATCACCATCAATCTTAAGAGCTTCATTGAAACTGAAAAGTTTCTGCACCTCATGAGCCTCTCCAATCAGACCAAATCAACCCGAAATATAGATACAACACTCCCGGATGATTTTCCAGCCTCCCAGGGAGGAGACAGAAAAGAAAGACCCGAAAACCACGTGTCTGTTTGGGGGGGGCAGTTTAAATACCCTGTGGGAGTAACCTTGAGCATCTCTGAGGGAGGGGTCATCATTTGGCAGGCTTTCTGAGATGTAGTAGGGTTTGGAGAGAGATGGGAGAGGGGGCTTGGGGTGGAGCTTCCACCAGAATGCTCCAGACTCTTTGGGTATGTATGCCAGGGGCTGGGATGAAGCTTCTCCAGAACAGAAATAGCATCTGCACTCCATAAAGTGCACTTATATTTTTAGCTC